TGACTGATTGCAGATCTTGATTTTTTTTGTAATTTTCTGTGTAAAGGTCTACAACTTTTGTTAAATTTATTTATATGGATATTTTTGACTTAAAATGCATGTTTACTAAATGGCATTTTTCTAATTATTTGTTGTTCATAATAACAAATACATGTACAGAAATGTGCAATTTCTGTACATGCAAGTATCCAAAGACACTGCTGAAATCACTATTAATTCTAAAAGTTTTTGTGGAGTTATTTGTGAATTTTCTACATGCAGATCATATAAAAAAAACTTCCACGAATGTCAATTTTACATTTTCTTTTGCAAACTGTATTTTTTTCCTTGCCTAAAGGCACATTATTAGACCTCTTAGCCAGTAACTTTGGTATTGATGGGCTTTCTTTACATCAATACATTCCTAAATGCTAGCAAAAAGTATTTAATATTTATTGCAGGGCTTTTATTCCCCTATTTCATATAAAGAGTTGTAAAACAATGTTACCTCACAAAAGGAAACCTCTTTTTTAAAAAATGCTGTTTTGTCTTCCGCATTTTCTTTTCTATCATACAGTTTTTATTGAGATATAATTCATGTACCCTAAAATTCACCTTTCAAAATATATAATTCAAAGATTTTTTTATATCGTCATAATATTGGGGTGCCATTATCTAGTTCTAGATTATTTCCATCACCCCAAAATAAATTCCATATCTATTAGCATATACCTGCCTCTATGGATTTCCCCACGCTGGATTTTTCCTATAAAAGAAATGATACTTTCCTTTTTGTGTTTGGCTTTTTTTCACTTAAAGTTTTTAATACTTGATTCCTTCTTATTACAGAATATTGCATAATATGGGACATATAACATTTTGTTTATTCGTTTACCAAGGTGATATATATTTGGTTTATTTCCCTTTTTTAGCTATTATAAGTAATACTATGAATACTGGTGTACAAGATTTTACATAAACACATTTTAAATTTTTATTTCTCCTGGTATATAGTTAGGAGTGGAACTGATGGATCATGTGCTTATTCTATTCTTAATGGCTTGAGGAATTGTCAAGCTATTTTCCGAAGTGGCTGCACCATGTTACAGTTCCACCTGCAAAGTAAGAGGGCTTTAATTTCTCTAAAACCTTGACGACAGTTGTTAACATCCAACTGTTTCCTTATTACCCTTTTGCTATCTGTTGGGCTGCTTATGCTTGTATACAGTTTGCTCAGTTTGCCAATAATAAAGTCCTAACAACTCAGTATTGGGTTTGTAGGGAGTAATTCCCAAAGGATGAGATAATGCTTCCTATTAGGAAAAAAGCAGAACTGCATACCATAAAAAGGTGTATATTCCTCAACTCAGGGCTTCTTAGCTGCAATGTAAATCTTAACTGTGTGTGTGGTATCCACCTGGGTCATACAACATTATCTCACAGGACTTGGGGAACAAGAGGAATCTACAGAAACATGCTTATTATTATGCTGCTTGCTATACCATTGAGAAATATAGTTCTGTTTCTGACCTAAGAGTCTCATGCCTTCTGCCAGCATCCATCAAATAAACTAAGCTTGTACATCAAATAAGTAAACCAGATGTATACTACCTAGCTTTGCAGTTTTTAATTGGTATTTTAACTCTCTCACCCATTTATACAAGCTTATACTTTTCTCCTATTTTCCTTCCTTTTTAAATGTAATCTTTCCCTACTTTTGTTTTTGTCTTAGCAATGCACATATATATTTTTATGTTATTATTATTTTTTAAAAGATTTATCCATTTATTTATTTATACAAGCAGTCAGAAGCACGGGAGGGTGAGAGAATTCACCAGCCAGAGCAGGGAGCAGAACAGGCAGACGGACAGAAGTACACCGCTGAGGGGAGTAGCGGGTGGCAGGAGAGGTCTGCACGCCATGTGGGACCCTCACCAGGGGGCCGAGGATAGAACTGGTGCTACAGAGGATGTGGGCAGCTTCACAGCCCAACGCTCAACTGCTGCGCCACCAGGGGAGGCCCTACACATACCTATTTTAAATATTCGTAACTGCTGCTTCTGTGGATTTTTTGAACCAGTTCTCTTTCAGTTAGATAAAACATCCTCTAGTAGGTTCCTTAAGTATAGCTCATGAATACACAATTCCCTAAGTTCTTTTATGTGAAAAACTTTTTCTATACCCTTGATATCTGAAATATAGTAGCTTAATAAAAAAAACTTTGGTTCATCGTAGTTTTTAATACTACTCCACTGTTGCTTTACTTTGGTTGCCTCAATGGGATTTAAAATGTCCAAACCAGTACAATTATTTTGCATTAGAAGTTAAGAAATGTATCTTTTTTAATTTTATTTTTATATTCCCCATACCATTGCAACCCCCTTATTTTGACCCTGATCCCTCCTTCCCCCCCCCCCCAAAAGTGTGTCTCTGGTTCATAGTTGTTTGTTGATTTTGATTTTTACTTTCTTATATTCTTTTTCCTGGTCCCTTATTTAGGTTTTCTAGATTCCTGTTATGAGACCATCCGGTATTTTTTTCTTTCTGGCTTATTTCGCTGAGCATGATCCCTTCCAGCTCCATCCATGTTTGCTGCAAATTGCATGTGTTTATCTTTTTTGAATGCTGAGTAATATTCCATGGTGTATATGTACCACATCTTCTTGATCTAGTCATCTATTTTTGGGCATTTGGGTTGTTTCCAAAGCTTATCTATTGTAAATAGTGCTGCTATAAACATAGGGGTGCAGGTGCTCTTTGAAATTGATGTTTCTGTGTCCTTTGGGTAAATACCTAGGAGTAGGTTGAGGAATCTCCAAGAAATATATTTTCCTGGAAGCAATGATGGAAGACTTATCTTTGAAATCTGATAGTTTAGTAGGAAATGTCGTGGAAATGATCACTGTAGGCTAATTTTGCCATTATCCAGTGGATTCTTTTCATTGTGTAAATGCAAATCCTTTTCAATTTCTGGAGAATTTTTTGTGAACGAAACTTGAATTATGAGTTATTTTCCATTGATTTACTTTCCAGATACTCTAAAATTGTGAATATATTCTTTGTCTCTCCTTTTCTTCAATTTTGAGATATAACTGATTATATAACCTTGTGTAAGTTTAAGGTGTAAAATGTATTGACTGGATATTTACATATTGCAAAAGGATTACCCCCATGGTTTTAGCTAACACTGCAATCACCACACAATTACCAGTTCATTTTTGTGGTGGGGCAGTTTAAAATTTGCTTTCTTAGCAACATTCTAGTATATTACACAGCATCTATGACAAGTTTTGCTTCATTCTTTGGTATTATTTTCACTCAACCTGGTTATTTCTTTGCCTTTCATCATTGCACCTTATTAAATTTTCATCTGAATCTGTTGGCCCTGAGGTACCTTATAACGTTTCGTTTCTATGCTAATTTTTTTCCTTTGTTTTCCATTTGAGTTCAAGTCTTTACATTTTTTTTTTTGGTCCATTTTCTTGGTTTCTGAATTTCTGATTCCACGTATTTTCCAGCTTTGTTCACTGAGAGGCCCTACAAACAATGAGGCACCAGGAGCAACACAACTGGCAGCTAGTTCTTAGTTTTTAAATACTAATCTTTACTAAAAACAAGCATACTTCCTTAGGTAAAAGGCTAACTCCAGATTTGTGGACTGGAAAGTATTAAGTTTCATTTTAAAGGGAAAATTAATAGTTCTTAACTTAATGATTAATATACTGAATGTACTTTAAAAAATGGTTAAGAAGGTCAATTTTATTAAGTGATTTTTTCACAATAAGACAAAACAAAAAACAACATATATGACAATACCACAATAAAAGCACTACTTTTCCCCCACAAAGAATGAGAACTCCAAAATACATCAACTAACAAATAAATCAGAAAACCAGTACTGCCTTGGCAGTTTTCTTGCCATGTGCTTCAATACACTTATTTAAATGAGGGAATTCAGAGACCTTAATAAATATGCCCTGCATTCCAACATCTAAAGGAAATAAACTTGGACTATCCAAGCCCTGAATAAATTTGAATTCAAGCAACATTCACTGATTACTTATTATGCAAACAGCAGTCTGTACTGTATTAGGAAATACAAACTAAGTAAGATGCCATCTTTGCCATTTAGGAACTCAAAATTCAGTAGTTTATATGAAATTTAGTGCACCAAGTTCATGAAAATATAGACAGACCCAGCTAAGGGAAGAGAAAACAAAAACTATTTGAAGAAGTCCATCTGATGACAGAACCATGAAATGAGAGCATGGTTTAGTTTTAGACCCTGACATTAAAATGCTTTGTTAAGAATTCAAATTCACTTTTCAATAGTTTAAGTCAAATCAGATGACATGATTATCTACATGAGATGCTAGCAGGACAAAGAATCCATTCAGTATAAACTATTGTCTAGTAAGGCCATCTCAGAACAAGGTAAAAGGGAATTCTAGCTCCTTCTAATGCAACAAAAAAGGGTCAGATTTTCTAAAGTTATTCATGGTAGGCTGATGTAAAAGTAAAGAATTATTTCTTAAATAATTGCAAAGTAAAAAGGTAAATTCTGTCTCACGTGGAAAGAATTGTGTCTTTTCCTTTATTTTTCCCTCAGAGAATGAATGTTCAAAGATTATTAACTACGTTAAATAGGAAAAGATGAAATACTAGGAAAATCAGGGTCCCCTTTTAAAATCTTTATTATTTTTTTTATTAATGACATATCATTAATTTACATCCTCGCTTGTTTTTTCACAACATAGGATTTCTCATCTCAGATGTAGTCACTATAGCTTTCCCACCATAAAGTCTCTATTTAAATGTTCTGATGAAAGTGAAAGATCATGTTTCAAATTCCCTCAAGGATCAGAAAAAAAATCAGAGTAGATAAAATCAGTAAGTGGTTCTGATGTTACTTAATAAAATACCTGGAAAGTTATAATAATGGAACCTCCTTGAGTGTTTAAAAGCCTACCACATTTAAATTTGAAACCCAAGCATATCAAAAAACAATTCAGCATTCTTACCACAATCATTTCTGAAGGCTCTAATACAAGACAATCACATCCTCTTTTTCCTCCAAACTGCTTACCAAAACTATAAAAACAGAAAAACAATTTCTTTAGCAAAGGTGATAAATATATTACTACAGGAAAACAAAACAAAACAAAACAAAAATGAACCAAGAAGACCCAGATGTTGGCCAAGAAATTCTTATCCTGTCCCTTATATTAATAAGATTTATTTAGGAAAATCTTTCCTTTCACTTGCCCAGATATATCTGATGTCAATACAGTTCTGTGTGAAAATCTTTTGTATTTCTGCCATTAACTAGTCTCTGAAATTGATTATATAACAGATAACCTCAAATTTGGACATCAATAAATGTTAAAGTGCAAACACCTAAGACAGAATGAAGTCATAATTGTGGAATATTTCATAAAAGTGTATTATATTACTTTGGTAGTGACATTAGATAAGAGATATAAAAAGCTTTTTTAAATTCACATATTTGAATATATAAAAAGAAATTAGTAAAATACAAATGTGATTTGTTAAAAACCAAACAAACAAACAAAATAGTACAGAAACTGAATTAGCACTGAAAAAAATTAGTATTTTTATAATTGTGTTAGGGAGAAAGATTTCCAAGCAAATAAAAGAAGAAAGAATACATAAAAGATTTGTTTTCATTTAAGATAAAGTGAATACAAAATATACTTGTAAACTATGTGAGAGATGAAAGATTAACATACTTGCTATGCAGAGCTCAATTATGAAAGCAAAGTACTACATAAATGAAAATTATCTACATGGTCAAAACTATAAAACATAAATATATCAAAAGTAAATGAATAAAACTCTAGTATAATGCAAACAAAATATAAAATACCAAAAAATAAAGAAATGCAGAAATCATAAGAAAAGTATAACATTTTTTGATAGACTGAAAAAAAGTTTGAATAAAGAGTAATATGTAGTTTTACAGAAAAGCTCACTAACATAAAAATCACTCTCAATGAAGTATAAATTTATATATAATTATTAGTTTATTAAGAAAATCCTAATCAAAAACCAAATAAAACCAAAACTTTCTATAAAAAAACAGAAACTATTACTTTTTCCTTAAGCAGTAAAACTTTTTTTGTTTCCCCAAACTCACAAATCATCTAATATAAAAACAATAAAAGCAAATTAATAAGTTTGCCTTCATTCAAAATAGAGTCACAGGGACTAGATTTACTCTCCACATCTTAAAAACCTGAAAATCAGACAAAATACATGAAACAATTTCAAGACACTGGAAAACAGGCAGAACAGGGCTGTGATACCTAAGAGAAAATTTAAAAATGAGTGGGACCCTTACAATATTCTAGTATACTACCTACAAGCAACTTCTAGTCTGTAATGCAAGAAGGGAGAAGCCTGCAAGAGTCTGGCAACATCACTGAATTGGAGACAGGCAGAGTTTTGTGGTATGGGTGATAGGAGAAAAGAGTCTTAAAATTTACAGGGCAGAGTATAGGAGAGGAGGAAACAGGAGAGAGGGAGACGACAAGAAATGTGCAAGCGAGTACATGAGTGAGCAAGCATAAGTGGTGATCTTCAGAAAAGTTCCTTGAGTCTCTGGGTAAATACCTACGGTATGTGTGAACAAGCCAACAAAAAGCCAGAGGGAAAAGGCCATACATACAATGCATGCAGTATAATAAAATATTGTAGGGGGCTGACTCATTTTTAAATGTCCTCTTAGGTATCATAGCCCTGTCCTGCCTGTTTTTCAGTGTCTTGAAATTGTTTCATGTATTTTGTCTGAATTTCTAGTTTTTACAGATGCGGAGAGTAATCTAGTCCCTGTGACTCCACTTTGAATAAAAACAAACTTTTACAAATTTGCTTTTAATTGTTTTATGTATTAGATGATATACGGCTTATATGAAATGCATATCCTTAATAATGTGTTAAGGCCTGCATTAAGTCCTAGACTTGCTCAAATATGAAAGGGAAGATGCAGAATTATCAAATGGAATCCAATTAGCTAAACTGCATGTCAGAAGCCCAACAGAATCCTAAAGACAGACAACAAAATCTGGAACCCAACAATAAAATTCGCAATGTCCAGTGTCCAATGAGACAAGAAAAACAGGCAGGTAAAGAAAGAAGAAAGTATGATCCATAGTAAAGGAAAAAAATCAATCAATAAAAACAGACCCAAAATATTCCACAGTGAGGGAATCAAGAGACAAGGGCATTAAACAGTTATTTCTAAATGTGTGCTGCATTAAAGCATCAATGTCTATGTATGCTCTGTACGCCCAAGAAAATAGATACACATAAGAACACAAACAGCTATCAAAAAAAAAAAAAAAGACCCCATGTAATGTTATATCACATCACTTGAGCAGACACTAATATCTGGCTGTTCCATTTCTTTTTTTTGGGGGTGGGGGGGCTCCTCGGTGGTGCAGTGGTTGAGCACTGGGCTGCGAAGCTGCCCGCAGCCTCTGCTGCGCCGGTTCGATCCCCGGCCACCGGCGAGGGTCCCATATGGTACAACAGACCTCTCCTGCCGCGCCGGCTGCTCCCCTCAGCAGTGTATTTCATCAGTCTGCCTGTCCTGCTCCCCACTCTGGCTCTGGTGAATTCTCTTACCCTCCTGAGCTTCTGACTGTACCCAGTGCTTGTATAAATAAATAAATAATCTTAAAAAAAATTAGAAATGGATCAGATATGTGAATGGAATTATAAAATTCCTATAGTAACAGAACTTTTTTTTAAAAAAGATTTATTTATTTATACATACAAGAACTGGGTACAGGCCAGAGGTGTGGAGGGTGAAAGGATTCACCAGAGATAGAGTGGGGAGAACAGGCAGACTGACTAAAAAACACTGCTGAGGGGAACAGCGGGTGAGTCAGAAGAGGTCTGCTGCCCCATGTGGGTAGCTCCCTGTCAGGCTGGGGATTGAACTTGTGCTGCAGTGACTCTGGATAGCTTCATTGGTAGCATCTTAAACCCCTGTGCCACCAGGGAGGCCCAGTAAAAGAACTTTTGTATATGCTCAAGATAAGGCAGGGATAAGCAGCTTTCCATAAATCTAGTATGTTCAAAGATTATCATGAACAAGTTTTAGATTTTGTCAAAACCTTTGTTTAAAGGATCATGTGGTCTCCACCCCCCATTATTTAACTGAGTATATTGTTTTATTTTTTTATTTTTTTTTTTAAGATTTATTTTTTATTTATTTATTTATTTATTTTATTTTATTTATACAAGCACTGGGTACAGTCAGAAGCGCGGGAAGGTGAGAGAACTCACCAGAGCCAGAGCGGGGAGCAGAGCAGGCAGAAGGACCGAAGTACACTGCTGAGGGGAGCAGCGGGCGGCAGGAGAGGTCTGCGCGCCATGTGGGACCCTCCTCCGGTGGCCGGGGAGCAGCCGGGGATCGAACAGGCGCCGCGGAGGCTGCGGGCCGCTTCGCAACCCATCGCTCAACCGCTGCGCCACCAGGGAGGCCCCCCTGAGTATATTGTTTTAATTGGCTTATAGATGTTAAACCTCCTTGCATTCCTAGGTAAAGCCCAACTGGTCACAGTGTCTAATATTTTTAATTCATTCCTTGTGATAGTGTAATTTGTAAGAAATATTTATTTGATCTTCACACAGTTCCTGGCTTATAGCTCCTTAAAGCCTTGAATTTGTAATACTGGAAAGTGTTAAAGGTGTCTTCTGTTAAGTGAATGAGGTAACTTTTGAAAGCACCTAAGGACAGGGGGTTAGTTGCTGGAGAACCAAGCATGTAGTTAGAGGGCTGGAACCTCTCTAGCCAATACCCTGCACTTCAGAGAGGCTAGAAGAGCTGGAAATTGAGTTCAATTACTAATAGCCAGTGATTTGGACAAACATGCCTATATAATGAAGTCACCACAAAAATCCCCAAAAGGAGGGACTTCTACAGCTTCTGGGATGGGAGATTCAGGACAATAGCATGCCTAAAGAAAATAGGGAAGTTCTGTGCTCTTTCCCCATTCCTTGCTATAGGTATCTCTTCCATCTGGCTATTCCTGAGTTATAGCCTTAGTAATAAATCGGTGCTCTTGTGAGGATCTCGAGTTCTGTGAGCTACTCTAGAAATCAAGGGAACATGGGGATGGGTCCTCTCATAGCCAATGAGACGCTCAGACTTGAAATTGGCATCTTAAGTCTGAGGAGGGGGACACTGGAATCCATAGTCTGTAGTCTGTTGGTTAGAAGTCCAGCCTGGGCTTGCAAATGGCACCTGATGTGGAGATACTCTCTCTGGGTAGGCAGTATCAGAATTGAGTTGAATTCTTGGACACCCTGTTTGTAGTGGAGTATCTGTTGGTATGAGAAAGTCTCCACACATACCCATGTTAGAACTGGGTCCCAGCAAGCCCAATTTATACTGCAGTGAAATCATGTTGCTAGCAATTTCTCCATGTTATATTCGTAATAGACAATTTGTAATTTTCTTGTGATGTTTTTGTGTGACAATGGTAGCAAGTAATGCTGGACTCAGACTAGGTCTGCCCCTGTTTTCCTAAACAATTTCACAGGATATTTAATAATGCTTTCACAAGTATTTAAAAACTGTAGTAAGGTCATCTGTTATTAAATTACTTTGTTTAAGTGTAGCCAAAGTTTCTACTTCTTAGTCTACGGTTAACATATGTTTTTGTAAGGTATTTCCAATCTATTGGTATAAAGTGGTTCAGAAAATTCTGTAACAATACTTTTCATTTCTCTAGTATAATGTTTCCTCTCATGATTAATTTTATTAATTAGTAATCTCTTTTATAAATGGGTCAATCTAAACTTTATCACTTTTGTTATCCTTTGCAAGGAACTTTTCCCTCCTTTTTCTCTACTGGTTTTGTTTTTTTCTTTCTCTGATTTCCACTAAAACTTACTTCTGCTTGCTTTCGGTTGTTATTCTTACTCTCACAATAAAAAACATAAGATGACTGAATTATGACCATTCTTCTTTCTCATCATGGTGCTTTAAATTTAATGCTGTAAATTTCCTTGTTAAAATGCTTTAGTTGCAATGCCATAAATGTGTTTATTTTCATTTA